GCCGGTCACGAATTAGAAGTACAAACCGAAGATTTGCAAAGAAAAATGTCAGAGGATTTTTATATAAGCCAAGAGGAGGCTGGTTTTCCTTGGCTAAAGTAAGGAAACTTTGCTTCCTTTGCTCCTGTTAACAAACGTTGGTTTTCACGAGACTCACCGGCGCATGCGCAACGCTGACCTCATACGTCATGCTCCCGGAGCTGCTTCTATTTACAACTGCTGGTGCAAGCTAGATTAAAGTGATTATTATGTTTTGAATATGGATATTTTTCTTACAAAAACGCATCGATTCGCTACAGAAGGCCTTTGTTCACCCCCCGGAGCCGTGTGAGACACTTTTTTTATGCATGGGCGCTTTTTATTTAACTTCTTTTGGACTGAAGCAATGCAACACCCGCTGACTGCAATGATAGAGCTTGAAAGATCAAAGACAATTTTTAATATAACTCCGACTGGATTCGTCTGAAAGAAGAAAGTCATATACATCTAGGATGCCTGGGGGGTGAGTAAAACACAGCCTAATTGTCATTTTTGGGTGAACTAACCCTTTAAGTCAAGTTACATTTGCTTGAGAGGCAAAATGACTTGAGATATTAAGTTTTCTGAAAAATGTATCAAAAATAAGTGAGTTTATGCTTAAAACAAAGAAACAAAAATATATCTGTCAACGGGGTCAGAAAAAAATTAATTCAAAGGCAAAACAAGATTATTTTTCTTACCCCACTGACAGATATTTTGTCTTGTTTTAAGCATAAATTCACTTAATTTTGATACATTTTTCAGAAAACAAGACTTCATATCCTAAGTCATTTTTCTTACTCAGTATTTTGTCTTGTTTTCAGTATAACTGACTTGAGATGTCAAGTCTTGTTTTCTGAAAAATGTATCAAAATTTAGTTTAATTTATGCTTAAAACAAGAAAATATTTCTGGCAATGGGGTAAGAAAAAAAAAAACAAGATAATTTTTAAATTAAATCCACTGAATGTTTATACATTTTTCAGAAAGCAAGATTTAAATTCATAAGTAATTTTCCTTCTCAATTAAATGTATCTTGATTTAAGAATGTTTAGATATTTATAATGGAAAACAAGACAAAAATACCAAGTTAGAAAATCATTTTTACAGTGTATCGCTCATACATAATGCACAGTCCTGCAACCAGAAACATTGGTGAAAATATAATGATGTTGGTTATTAATTATGAAGTTACTTTTTTTGTATTGATTATTGAGTTTTGAGCATGTTCTATCTAAAAGCTCAAATTTCCCTTGTCTTGTATAGGGCTCTGTACATCCAATATGAATGGGGTCAATGCCAACCCTGACGCTCAGTTTGGGAATGAAGAGAGGGGCATTTGGCATAAACGCCTGCGTCTCAGGAAGACCTCCTTTTCATTCCCCACTGAACAAAACACTGTGAAAGAGGAGAAGAATGTTACAGCATGTGGATGGAAAGTAACAGGGAAGTCCAAGAAATGGCCTCGATGTCTTCAGGCGGCGAACACCTTCACCTGCTCCTCGTGCAACGACGGCATCTCCTTCAGACCCGGCGAATTAACGATGCATTTTAAGATCGCCCACGGAGGCAAAGGAAGCCCACCAATGTTTCCATGCAACATGTGCGGTTTCTCTACGCCAGTGTTCACTACGCTTCAGCAGCACCGAATGCAACACGAGGATTGTTTGTTCGCTTGTGAGATTTGTGATGACTATGTCCAGCAAACGCTTCCCCAACTGACCAAACATTGTCAAACTCACCATGCTCTAAACGGACAATACTACTGCCCGAAGTGCAAACTCTCCTTCCAGGAGATTAAGCAGTTTGTGTGTCACTCGAGTTGCATTTCTGATGGTAATGCACGGAAAAACGATCTCTTAAAGCACATGGCTGCTGCGTGCCGTCAAAGGTGGAGCCGCAAAAATTGGTGGAGAAAGCGGGCACACGTCAAGCAAGACAATAACCTGTCCCAAGGGTTCAAGTACTTACTTCCAAAACCAGAACCTCAATGGGCATCCCCATTGCTCCCGTTCTCCACACCCGGTCTACTGGACAACCACGGTGTGCTGCTGGATCCAGAGAAGACCTTGGAGGAAGCGCAGCAGTTTCTCGAGAGAACCGTTTGTAGTGGTAAAAACTGGCCTGCATCTCTCAAAAGCGAGCAAGCGGCAACAACATCCCATCCGTCACAAACGAATGCAAAGCGATGGGCCACGCCACACACTGGGAAAGATAAGCTAAGCGGACTCATGGAGAAGAACAATATATCCGTTCCCCCAGATTGCACTACAAAGGTGGTCGGGTTCAAGATGGTGGGCAGCAAAAAGCATTTAGTTCTCAAAGTCATTCCTTCAAAGAAGCGAGACGTTTCGAAGGATGCTCACACTGTGAAACCTGCCAATCAGCAAGACGAATCCAATGATATTTCAACCATTAATGCCTCAGGAAACTGTTCTCAGGTGACGCCTAGAAGTTCTTCGTCCCAAACAACGAAGCAGGGGCAATGTGTAGCTCAGCGGGACTTTTTGTCTTCGGTGGTTGAGAGGATAAAAAGCCAACAAACCGATGGATGCAACAATCAGGAACATGCACGCAACCATAATTCACATATTCAAAGTCCCCGTGCAAAAAGAGCGAAAGACTGCCAAGACAAAGCTCTCAGTGAATCCGAGGAAAACTTTACAGCATGCCAAGGAGATTCAGGATGTCATAGTGATCTGACCTCGGATACAGGTTCTTTGGAAGAAAGGTGTGGTTCACGTCTCCTTACAACAGCGTTTGATGAAGAACACAATCTTGCACTGGATTCAAACTTCATTCACCATCAACCAAACACATGCTCCATCTCTGGGTTTGATTGCGTGAGTCCGTCCTCTAGATCTCCCCTGAAGGATCTGACTGAGTCTTTGTGTCAAAGTGAAGCCGGGGGCCTGTTACTCCATGGCAATGCTGACGAGTGCACAAACAACATGGACCCCAGAGATTCTCTGGTCCCGGTAGAAAGCCGCAGCGCTCCAGACCTGCTTCACATGGTGGATGATCTGCCTTTAACAACAGCCATCCATTTTCTGGATGAAGTGGGAGCGGATCGGACGTTATCGCCACACACCAGCTCTGATGAGCGTCTGAAAGATTTAACATGCGCTGGAGGTAAGCAATATGCAGAGCACTCTGGGATCAAGTGTACTTGTTGTGTTTTGTCTTTTAGACATGGTTCCCATAGTCATGGAAAATCTTAGGTAATTGTTAAAAGACAGGTAATTGTGTTTAGTTGAATATTGTTTGCTATAGTTATACTCAATATTTTATTGGCTTGTTGGTAGTGAGGTCTAAATAAAATGATTGAAGCCGTGCCATGGAAAATCCTCAAGTCAAATGGTGTGGGAACCCTGTTTTTATTCAGTGTATTTTTACTCTTTCCAGCAGACAGAAAACTCATGGTTCCGATGTTCAATAGGTCTAAGCTTGCTTACATAGATATCTAAAGTGGATACGGCTATATGAGCCATTATATGTAAATCATGCGCCATATTGGAACGGTCAAAGCTTCAAGTTCACTGTGCAAACCTAGTTATTCACATGTATGACGCAATAGTCTTTAGCAGCTGATTTTCACAGGATTTAGTTTATCATTGATGCTAGATAGTTCTACATATGGTAAATAAAAAAATAATAGTGATCTTATAAACATTATTAATCATTTGAGAACCCTATCATAGATATGTATCTATAGCAAATTGCTATAAAAAAGCTTAGTTTTCATCTTTCTGACGTCATTTGAAACATATTTTAGATTTGAAGTACAATATATATATATTTAAAATTTAATATATATTTGGAATAATAAGTAATAATAATAAATAAAAATGATATATTTACAATATGTGTACGTGTTTTAAATATTTGAAATAAATAATAATAATAATAATTCTTATGAAAATATTTTAAAGACATTTTTCATGTATTTACTCTCGGTAACCTTTCTAAGCAATCTAAGCAAAAAGTTGCCACAAAGACTCAAAATATTTAATATTTAATGCAAGAAGTAAAATATAGTAATTTTGTTTTAAAAAAAAATTTATGTATCAAAACATTGTATTTCCTCTGAAATGGTTCTATAACAATCTTTCCAAGCAATTGATTTTTTAAAAATTTATTGATTTAAAAAATTGTAATAGTAAAATTTTAAAGTAATTAAAAATGTTTAAAAAAAACATTAGCAAAATATTTTTTCAGCTTTATGTATTTACTCTGACATGTATGGAAGCCCGTTTCCGCCACTGAATAAAAAATAAAAAAAGGTTATTGCAACTTTTTATCTCACAATTCTGACTTTTTTTCACAGAATTGTGAGATTTAAACTCGCAATTGTGAGTTATAAAGTCAGATTTGCGAGATATAAACTCACAATTACGAGATTAAAAAAAAACTTGCAATTCTGACTTTTTTTCTTGCAATTGCGAGTTTATATTTCGCAATTCTGACTTTTTTCTCACAATTTCTGAAATAACGTAGATAAATTGTGAGTTAAAGCCCAGTTTTGAGCCGGGGGGGTTGGCTGATATGTTCTCAGAATTGCGAATTTATATCTCACAATTCTGACTTTATAACTCGCAAAAAAAGTCATAATTGCAAGTTTATATCTCGCAGTTCTGACTTTATTTCTCAGAATTGCGACTTTATGTCTCGCAATTGCGAGTTTATATCTCACAATTATGACTTTTTAACTCACAATTGCGAGTTTGTTTCACGCAATTATGAGAAAAAAAGTCAGAATTGTGAGATAAAAAGTCGCAACTACCTTTTTTATTTTTTATTCAGTGCTTTTATTCAGTGCTTCCACTAAACGGGCTTCCATAGACATGACTCAGTAACCAAATACAATTAACAAAAAAAAAATATATATATATATTTTTTGTTATGTTTTACTCGAAATGGCTAATGGTAAGCATTATCCAAGATATATATTGTTGCCACAAACATTCAAAGCATTCAATGCAAGAATTAAAATATACTAATTAAAATAGTCAAATTTTAGCTTTGTTAACATCATCATAATACAAATACAGTATTTGCATTCATATTTATTTTTGTTAAGACATTTTAAAGCATGTTAGTTGCTCTTCTGCTTCATGTTCTCATCAGGTACAAGCCAGCGATCTGATCCGGTCAATGCCAGCATCTTCTCTCTCCTGCCTGATGATGCAAACTCTTCCACATCTGTCCCAGAAACAGCATCTGGATCCAGCGAGTCAGGCATCCCTCTCGCATCGCTGAACAGAAAGCGCATGGGAGAAACGTCCTCGGCGGACTCTCCCGTCAGTAAGCGATCGACTCGGGCCTCGGAAGACGTCAGCGCCTCCGTCCTCTTCTGGGAGCCAGTGCCTCGAGACGCTCCGGCGACCCTTCGACTGATTCCCTACAGCTCCTCGCAATCCGTTAAAATCCCACGCGAATACCAGCCTGTCATAGTTCTCAACCATCCCGACACTGATATCCCCGAGGTCTCAAACATCATGAAAGTCGTTCACAAGCACAAAGACGCCGTGCATCGTGTCGTACTTTCTCGTAAAACTCTCCGAGCTCTTTCCGAGTTTAACTGCGACGCCTTTCGCCATAATCTCGTCGCCAATTGCCACGCATCCCACCGCAGGAGAGAATGGCCAAACGGGACCGTTAAAGAACGGCTCGGCTTAAAACTGAGGCTCAAAAGAGTGTGTGGAAGAAAGTACACCGTAGTACCAACAGTGTCGGAGAGCATCGTGCTGCAGCCGACGTTTAGATGCTGGTTTTGCGGGCGGCTTTTCACAAACCAAGAAGCTTGGGTGGGTCACGGACAAAGGCATCTAATGGAAGCAACCAGAGGCTGGAACCAGCTCTTCAACAGATAGAAATGCATTCATCTTCATTTTTAAGAAGTGCTGTGAAGAATCAGGGTTACTGTGCACATCTCAGGGTGAGAAAAATATCTTCGTCTTTCACCGTTTCGTTCTTTACAGTAATAAACCCTTTTCGGGTGACTGACTATTCAAGTTGACACGAGCAAAGCATTATTTATTTCGTTCCGCAATGTGAAAACGTGCAGTGCATTATCTAATAGATTAAAAATCACTGTGTTTTGATACGGTCAGACCAAATCCATCTCAGATTGCTGCAGAGACCTCTGTTGTATTATTCCACTTAACATCACAACATCAGTTCGTCTTAATACTTGATGTAGTTTTGCATTATTTTATTGCTTTATTTTTGATGTTTAAAATTAGGGCATGTGTTGTTTAACCATTACTACTTTGTTGCATTACTAATCATCTTTCATAAGGCTTTGTGACTGAAATGTTTACAGAAATTGTCGATTGTCTTTGTAGGATTCTACAAATCTGGTTTAGCTTCCTCTGTTCGACACATTGCCGGTATATTTAGCATTAGTTTAAACTACATCTGTATGCAAGAGCATATGTTGACGCAGCATTGGTGAAATTATGTTTTGTATTTATGCGAATTGTCTATATTTATTTTTTCAGCGTGCAGTCGGCTGATAAGTCACATGGGTTTGATTAAGGGTTTAATCAAGACTTTAAATTAATTATCGCATTGTTAATGTATTATCCATGGATAAAGAATGTTGCAACTGTGATGTTTTGGTCTCAGTAGTCAGAATTTTCCAAAAATATTTTTATTCTCATTTATGAAGCCAAAGGTTTTTTTTTAGGATCAGTGTAATCTGATCAGAATAATAATTTCTTGAGTTTTTTTTCACCAGGTAAAAACGAGACCCTCACTGACTTGAAAAGTTTGTTGATTGCACTGCGATTCAGGCACTTAATAGTGGTGTGAATTTTCCAGAAATATTTGAAAATGGCCTTTATTCCAGGTCTGTGATCCACTTCACTTGAAACCAAAGTAAACGTGTCTCTCTTATGTTTGTATAGATGTTTAAACACAGTGTTGCACTAAACAGCTGTGAATGACGCCTTGCATTGCTGTATTGTAGAAGTGCCTCCACAAAAAAACCCTGTAGAGCTATCAATAAATAAAGAAATATAATTATTTTGAAAATTGATTTTTTTTTTGTCTGAGGTAAATGTAGCTCTTTAAGGAAAAGCATATCAGATTTTCTTAATGTGTGTTTTTAACAGTTGTTTTCAGTGTTTTTTACAGTTTCACCTGTATACTGAAAAATAAATATTACAAAAATATAATGAAATTTTAGATACAAGACTAGAATTCACAAAACTCATCCTAGCTTAATAGATGATCTGAAAGTTTAAAACCACTGCTAGAGAAAAACAAGCATTTATGTAGCATTTAAAAAGTGATGTAAATGAAATTACAGGCACGTTGTTGAACAAATGTAGCCACAGAACCAACTGTAGCCTCTTATGTGTTAGAAAATATTTTTATTTATGCCTTGTTTTTTACTAGTGTTAGACGACATACTCCTGTAAAGTAGCTCCAAAGAATATTTGTATCTTATTATATCTTATTTTTTTGCAAGATTTCAAAAGGCAATTAAAACAGGGAAAGCTTGTAAATGATTGAATATCTTTAATATAAATCTGTACGTGTGTATGACCCCTCTAGTGTACAAATGTTTGTATAATATAAATATAAAACACAGTACCCACGTGACAAATATTCCCCCTTATGCAAATATTTAGGGTTGTACAGTGCAAATTATTATAATTTGACATAACATAATACAAAACAATCGCTTTAATTAAAAAAAAGTTTTTTTTTTTTTACTCAACACACCTTGTAATATAAAACAAATGTGTTTATACAACGATTCATACACCCAGAAACATGTATAAACTCTGTACCATATTTGCATATCTTTATATAACATTGCTCTTCTCCCTGTTTTTCGGGGTGGTTTGCACAGAACGCATTCTCCTATGCTGTATTTTTAAATGCGCAACACATACTTTTGTCACCATCAAAATAAAAATACAGAGTCTCGGCCCGTAACCTGTCATTCAGCTAAATAAGTTATAAAAGTAGCAGCAAGTGCCAGAGTTTCCATCCTCTATTAAGGTAAATGTGAAACTACCACACAGTTGAATGCCAGCACCCTCTCAATGCAGTTATATTTGTCATGGCTTGACTGCGTGTCTGAGTTTGGTGTAGTCTTTGGTGTTGCTTTGTGAGTCGACCAGCACTAGAGGATTCTTCTGGTGGTTCTCGATGATGTCTGAGACGCTGCTGAAACGCTTGAGAGAGAGAGAGAGAGGAGAGTTTAGTGATTGACAGCTGACTTCTACCTCTTTTCATCTCATGCAGTGACACCTATGGAGGCTTGTTTTTCCGTGACTTTTTTATTTCATAATTCTGATTTTTTTTTTCTCTCTCGCAAATCTGAGTTTATTTTAGGGGTGAGCATACTGACAACAAATAATATAAAAATTTTAAAAATTATTTTTTTTGTGTTGGTACCTTGGCTGATTTAGGCCTGTCATGGATAAATAAATGTGACACTAAAACTGCCAGTAGGTGGCAGCAAGTCTCTGTTTTAATGAGTGATTCATTGAATCATTCATTCAAGTGATTCATTCAAAACGGTTGATTCTATTTTCGCTGTTGAAAAACAAAACAGTATTTTTTCTAAAAATGTTACTCGCTCAATATTAAATTCTTGTTTGTTTAACTGTTGTTTAAAATTAATGTTGTATAAAATTAATATTGCTCAGTGCTCACGCACTAATAGGCCTATTTAGGAAAGCAGCACTATTGCTTGTGTGAGATTACTTAACATATAAATATAAAAAACAAAAACCTCTTCAGGGAATTTTTTTGCTTTCATAACTTGAATTATTGGGGAATTCTAGCTGCATTCTAATAGGCTTCATCACGCAGTCAGTGCTTTTGGACTTTTGTTTGTTTTTTGCAGAGTGAGTGACATACTTGATAATGTCAGTATGCATATTGATAATTACGATATTATTGCGCAGCCTATAAATATCACAGTTTATATTATAAATATCACACCCAATTTATATCTCACAATTCAGGCTTCTTTTCTCTCAATTCTGAGTTTATACGACTAGTGGAAAAAAGTCAGAATTGTGAGATATAAAGATGCAATAACCTTTTTTACTTTTTATTCTGTGGTAGAAACAAAAAGAGAATTGCAAGATGTAAACTCAGAATTCTGAGAGAAAAAAGCCAGAATCGCGAGATAAAAAAGAGGGAAAAAGTCAGAATTCTGAGATATAAAGTTGCAATTACCTTTTTCATTTTTATTGCATGGCGGAAACAAGCTTGCATAGACACCAGAATGTATTTGGACACTTAAGTCACGCTTATTTAAAAGTTATGAGGGCATTAGTTAAATATTATTGAGTTTAGATTGAGATGAGGATGAGCAAGTAATAACATTTTCATTTTTGAATTTAGTAAGTAAGTATCCAAATACTTTTGGGGCAAATCCATGTCTGTTTTTACCTCCTCTCCTTGTTTTTCTTTCCCCAAAGCATACTGTTTGGTGGAAGCGATGTAGCGGACAGGGATGTTGTAAACTCGGCTGTTGTAAAACACCACCAGTGTATACGGCTGCTGCGCGTCCACACCAGAGCTCTTCCTGAGCAGAAAAGAGCTGTCCTGAAATCAAATCAGACAAATAAGCATTACATCTCAAGCAGGGATAGACTGATATTTACATTGATGCATTTGGCAGACGCTTTATCCTAAGCAGCTTACATTACTTTTAAACACTTCATCAGCTCATGCATTCCCTGGAAATCGAACCCATGAACTTGGCGTTGCAAGCACCACTACAGGAATGATACAGCAGACTGGTGATGTTGTAAAGCAGGGGTCGGGAACCTTTTTTGACCAAAGAGCCTTTTTTTCTTTCCATTTTAGGTTAATGCATTTTCCCAAAAGAGCCACAGTACATATGATATAATATGTGCAAATGCATTTATTTATACTGAATGTTAAAAGTTCATATCGATCATGTTCTATTCTGTAATGTTAATATAAATCATACACTGTCAGAATAAAAAGGTTGCATTTTATGTGTGCAACAGCCTTTTACTGGCAGTCCCTTATGAAATTTAACCAAGGTTTTACTAACGTGAACGTAGTTCAACTATAGTATATGTGACCCTGGAGCACAAAACCAGTCTTAAGATAATTTTGACCCATACAATGTATTGTTGGCTGTCGCTACAAATATACCCCAGCGACTTAAGACTGCTTTTGTGCTCCAGGCTCACATTTGTAGATTTCCATGGTGACCACTACAGTAAATATATTTTAACCATTAAAGCATGTTTTTTTCCACGGAAATTGGGCTACTTTTAAACGTTGATTTTGGTTGATTTTCCCTCGTGGGTTAAAGGTTTGAAATATTGTTTGAATTACATTTGACTGAAATGTTTGTATTGAAACATTTTGCATATAACTGCACTAGATGTTAAGTTTTGTGAAAGAGGGCCACTGGTAGAACGCCTTTGAGCTGCGTTTATGATCAATGTGCATAACAATGACTGTAAAATATATTTTAGGTATGGAAATGACATTTTGAGTTTTGATATTTGGGATGTGGTCATTGCTCTACTTTGGGCTGTTTTGACTGGCATGGTGTTATTCTGTGCAGGTCTGACGTGCCTTAGCTGAGCGTATGAGAGCGTCCTCTGCTGTCTTGCGGTCACAGCTGCTGGCATACCAAACCTTTTTATACACACCAGCTTCCTGTGTGAGAGAACAGGACAGTTAGACTGACAGACACTGTAAGTGCATGCTGGGATGTTCTTGATTATAGTAGTTATGCTGCGAACTGAGACACACAAACATGCATTTTTCATTTTCTGTCAAAGCCAAACCCTATAAATGAAAATGTATACATAAAGAAGTAAACGCAAGTCAGTAATTGCAATCACCTCTTCAGCATCTCTAGCTGATCTGCTGTCTGAAGGCAACATCCCTCTGCCTGTGGAAATAAAACCATACTAATCAACAGCTAGAAAAGAAATTCATCAAGACTTTGTCAGAAAGTTTTGATGTTTATATTGACCTTATGGACAGAAAAATGTCAAGTCAAGTCACCTTTATTTATATAGCGCTTTATATAATACAGATTGTGTTAAACAGGAAAAGCGTGTGCTGATAATGCAAGAGGACAATAGACAACAGTCAGTTTATCAGTTAAAGTCAGTTCATTGTTGATTCAGTTATGTCATCGTCCAGCTCAGTTCAGTTCTCTTCCAATAGTGTCTGTGCAGTCAAGTCAACAATGTTGCCAGAAATTGTGACTCCAACTAAAAAAACGTGTCCATTGCAAACTGAAAAAGCATGAATCTTACTCTGAGAGGGAAGCTGCCGAGGCAGAGGCATCCTGTAACAGAAAAGGAGACTGTAGTTTAGTTCTTCTGTTCATAAAATGATGATAGTTTATGCCTACAGGAGAAAATGAAACTGTTTTTTACTTAGCTCGATGGAACCCTGTTGCCGGCATGGTGTCTGGTGGGCTTCGTGGTAAAGTTACTGCTGTTGTTTTAATTGATGTGGCTGTAACAGAGATCATGCAAGTGTTAATAGGCAACTTTAAAATGTACTCTAAAACAATACAAGGTCATAGTTAAAATTGCTCTTTATAAAAGTGCAGGAAACTCTCATGTCGGTCACATCTACAAGTCATTGGCTATATTCAGAATAGCATACTACTTGAGAAGTATGCTAATTTTCTTTATGCATGCATGCATGCATGGATCTGTCAAATTGTGCATTATAAAACAGCTTCATTTGCAGAATACTGCATCAGAAACATGCAGTATGCTAATTTTCTGTATGCATGCATGCATGAATCTGTCAAGTTGTGCATTTAAAACTGAACTTAATTTGTGGAATACTGCATCAGTTTAACGAAATGCAGTGAAGATTTTATTTGTGCAGTATGCTACTTTTTTTGTATGCATGCATGCTTGGATCAGCCAAACTGTGCATTATAAAACAGCTTAATTTGTGGAATACTGCATCAGAAACGTGCAGTATTCTCATTTTCAGTATGCGTTCATGCATGGATCTGCCAGCTTGTGGGTTATAAAACAGAGCTTACTTTGTGGAATACTGCATCAGAAACGTACAGTATGCTAATTTTCTCTATGCATGCATGCATGAACCTGCCAAATTCCGCATTATACGGTAAAACAGAGCTTACTTTGAAGAAAACTGCATCAGTTTGACCAAATGTAGTGTAGATTTAATTCGTGCAGCGTGCTAATTTTCTTCATGCATGCATGGATCTGCCAAAATTGTGCATTATAAACCAGAGCTTACTTTGCGGAATACTGCATCAGAAATGCACAGTATGCTAATTTTCTGTATGCATGTATGGATCTGCCAAATTGTGGATTATGAAATGGAGCTTACTTTATGGAATATTTGTGCAGTACAATATTTTTGTGCATGCATGCTTAGATCTGCCGAATTGCACATTAGCTTAAAGTATGCAGACATAAAGTATGCAAATTTTCTGTATGCATGCATGGATCTGCCAAATTGTGCATTATTAAACAGAGCTTAATTTGTGGAATTCAGCATCACTTTGACCAATAGTGTAGATTTTATTTGTGCAGTATGCTGATTTTCTTTATGCACGGATCTTACAAATTGCACATTATGAAACAGCTTATTTTGTGGAATACTGCACCAGTTTGACTACCAAAATTAAAGACATTTTTTAACTTGGATTTAGTTCGGAGATCATGAATGGGCATCTCTTGTTGAATTACAAATGCAGTGAGGTCACATGACAACAGTGTCGTATATTACTGCTTGAAACATTTATCATAGCATAAAGCATTGTTTTGCATCTTGCTTTTTAAAATTGTACAGAATGCACCATATATAATGCCATATGCTTCTGTTCTGAACATTGCCATTGCTTTTGCAAGGATTTTGGTAGTTACCTTCACTGTCTCTGCGAGGAATGTTTGGTTTCTGCAAAAATGGAAAAGTGTTTGTCACAGAATGTTTTGATTTACCGTTAAATAGTACAGATTAGATAAGATAAACGAGTCCATACCGCTATCAAAGCAGGATTTGGTTTCTTCCTAAAAGATCAGCAGTGATGAACTGTTAGATAGTGAGCCTGATATTATGGCAGATTTGATTTATTATTGTTCAGGGTTTAAGGGAGTCACTTACATGTCTCTAGGTCGCGGCGTGGGTATTGATGTTCTCCGGGCCTCTGTGGTCTCCTCTGGCCCTTCATTAACACCTAATGAGAATCAGACACATATGGTTGCTGTCTGTGATTTGTTTTTCATGCATTCATTTGCTCAGGCCTGGTTTGTGACTGATACTCACTGTCGTCTGCGTCACACACCTCATACTCATCCTCTGACTGTGGTTCCTGCTCAAAACACATGCAGACCATCATCATAATCTCCATTCAAAGCATGCATTTACACTCTTATATCTACATATAGGTCACTAATTTACATAATAGCAAATCACGTGTACATGTTGTACATTTCCACTATGGGACCCATAAAATATAAGGGACAATATGAGAATTATTGTTAACATATTACAATAGGGTCTCATTTGTTAACAATAGATAATGCATTAGCTAAGATTAACTAACAATTAGATATACAGTATACTATATACTACTATGAAGTATATATATATATATATATATAGTTAATGCTATTTAAAAATATTATTCATGTTCACAATGCATTAATATTAACAGATATAATTGTTGATTTTAAGCATGTTTTAGTAAATGTTGAAATTAATATTTTCTAAAAATTAATAAATGCTGTAAAAGTATGGTTGATTTTTAATTTTTAATGTTAACAAATGTCTGCATTGTAAAATTGTACTTATTTTTATTTATTTCTTATGAAGTATTTTTTACATTCTTATTTTTACAATTATATATATATATATATATATACACACATTAAAAAAACCATTAATACTCACTGGAGTTATTGTTGGCCTTCTGATTCTGTATGAATAGATAAAACATGAAAAACTTAAATTGCTTGTTTGTTTGTTTGTGTGTTTGTGCATTTAACTCTTTCCTCTAAATCTCGTATCTCAGGCATATTTTGTAGTGTTTTCGAAGACGGCAGTGACATTGTCATTGTCTCAAATGTTTCACATTGTTAGAGAACCAAAACAATGAACCTGAAGAAGTATGTATGTATGCATCTAACGTATTTTGATAGAAACTAGTATAGTATTTTGACATGGTTATAATGGTGAATGTTTGTAAGGGTGCTGAGTAACTGTGAATGCAGGGCTAATCTAGTGGTTTGTAATTGTCTTGAGAAAATAATGACTGTGTAATACCGTGGACTGGCTTTAGGTGGCGCCATCTGTGTGTTGGGTTGTAGAGTCGAGTTACTCCTGCCGATCAGAAAAAAGCATTTATTGACAGAGAACAGCAGAACAGGGAAGCATGTGATGTGTGTCTCAGTAATAAAGGACATGAGGAAGTTCAGGACTGAATCATCAAGGGCTGTTGTTGCTCTTTTAGAAAGACAGTCAATTTTTGACCAATTGTAGTGTAGATTTTAATGTATGGATATTCACGTCTCATATTCATGTACTGTGCAATTGCCAACTTAAATTGGTCAAACTGACATGTTTTTATATATATATTGAATATTATCAGTGCTGTAATTACCGCTAATGAAAACTGAGTTCAACATAATTATGTTAAAGTTTAATGTGTGTAATAAAAATAATAAAGAAAAAGGAGGGTTAATTTTGAAGGAGTTGTACCTTGTCTTAGACTGAGAATTCTCCTATAATTAAACACAAAGCATTTTGTCAGAGCAGTTATAAAGCAAATTAATAGTCCATAAATTAATATTATATATAATGCATGTTGTTATTTGTTGTACTACCTGTTATATGCCTATAATATATAATTATAGAAATAAATTATATATAAAATAAAATTTAAAAAATTTAAAAAATGTAAAAACTTAAATATAAATACATTAAAAATGTTATTATAAAATATTATTATAAATATAAAAAAATAAAATATTCGATCAGAAAAAAGCATTTATTGACAGAGAACAGCAGAACAGGGAAGCATGTGATGTGTGTCTCAGTAATAAAGGACATGAGGAAGTTCAGGACTGAATCATCAAGGGCTGTTGTTGCTCTTTTAGAAAGACAGTCAATTTTTGACCAATTGTAGTGTAGATTTTAATGTATGGATATTCACGTCTCATATTCATGTACTGTGCAATTGCCAACTTAAATTGGTCAAACTGACATGTTTTTATATATATATTGAATATTATCAGTGCTGTAATTACCGCTAATGAAAACTGAGTTCAACATAATTATGTTAAAGTTTAATGTGTGTAATAAAAACAATAAAGAAAAAGGAGGGTTAATTTTGAAGGAGTTGTACCTTGTCTTAGACTGAGAATTCTCCTATAATTAAATACAAAGCATTTTGTCAGAGCAGTTATAAAGCAAATTAATAGTCCATAAATTAATATTATATATAATGCATGTTGTTATTTGTTGTACTACCTGTTATATGCCTATAATATATAATTATAGAAATAAATTATATATAAAATAAAATTTAAAAAATTTAAAAAATGTAAAAACTTAAATATAAATACATTAAAAATGTTATTATAAAATATTATTATAAATATAAAAAAATAAAATATTATTGTAAATATAAAAAATATTATATCATGTATGATGTTGTACTATTTATGCTGATTTTAACTTTTAACTAATAATAATAAAATCATCATACTAGAATCTAATGAGACTTTTCTCTTTTTTTTGGTCTGAATATCACATCAGTGACCTGGACCTGCAAGCTCTTTTCATTTCAGCTCACCTTCAAATCAGGAACCTCATAGAAATCTAAAAAAAGAAGAATTTAGAGTGTAATATTTGAGTATTTGATCAAAGAAATCGAATCAAACTGCAGTGCGCTTCTTGAAATAATCTCATGAAAGTCTCACCCGGAGTGTTGACACGAGCAGGAACACACGGTTTGACTCCTCTGTTAACCTGCGGCTCTATTAACAGACATTACGCACCATTAGGGCTTGATTTACAGTCAGTGTGCATCAAAATAAAGGCCTTCCTCTGTCATCTTACTTGATGGTGTTTTCTCAATGGGCTCAATGTAATTATCATCAACTGTTTCGTCCTCCGGCTCAATGTAATCGCCCTGAACGGAGGAGAGTGCTTCAGTATCGAAAGTTTATTGTGCGCTAAATGAAATTCTGTGTTAACAGTACAAGTGTTATTACATCATCTTCCTCTGTCAGGCTGCGGTGGGTCGGTCGTGGGGGTTTGTGTCTCTGTTGCATTTGGAAAGGATGGTTTGGTTTCGCCGGTCGACCACGACAGCTGTCTGCGAGACACAGGAAATCTGGTTTTACATGCTTTTTTGCTGCTTTACAGAACTTTTCTTTTGTAGAACTGAACCTTTTAGGCTTACGTCATTTAATTTTGCTCACATTTTTGATTCTGTTGAACACAAAAGGAGCACTTTTGAAGAGGCTTTTATGCTCCAAAAATGAAAAAAAAAAATCACATTTCATTCAAAACAACCTTCTGTATTCGATGGAAGAGCCTCATGCGGGTTTGGAAAGACATGTGGGGGAGGAAATGATGACAGAGTTTTAAAGTCAACATGAAATGCTTTTCGCAACTCATTTTTCTTTACATGACGAGATTGAGAGCGAAAGATGTTGGGCAAAACTTAATGTTTTTTTTTTTTTATTAAAAGTGCACCAGTGAATCATTCACAATAAAGCCTTTTTGTGTTTCTTTGTACATTGTTTCTCATTTACAGGAGCTAGTCTGTGATTTTATTGCTGTCTGAATCCAGAACGTCCGTGTTTTTCTAAAGACTCGGCCAAGTTTTGTCCAACAGCAAGTTCGTGTGGTATTTCAATTGCATATGAAGACGGGATCAGTCCAAAAGTCGTTTGGTAAATCTGTTTTAATCACTACCAAGCACATTTTAAACTAATTCAATTAGACGTACATGACAGTGTTATTTTATTATCATTGAGATCAAAATTTTATTCACATTTTTTAAATTATTTTTTATTTTTACATTTTCCGTTTTATTTTATTTCTGTTTTCATTTTTATTTTTTAACTTTTTTTTTTTGTCATTTTTTTTGTTGTTGTTATTTTCCGTTTTCATTTTTATTTTTTACATTTTACTTCTTTTTTTTGGGTAATTTTGTTAGTTTCTATTTCTATACAGAATCCACATCTCTGAGTTTTTAACCACTACCATCCACATTTTAAATACGGACACTTTTTTTCACTGAATGTTTGCATATATAATATTACTTCGCCATTCCACTACAGTAAGTGGGCGCTTTAAAGAAGAAGAAAACAAAATCACAAATCTTTTTTAAACGGGTCATTATGCAATAAATGTGTAAAATATTTATCATATACATTTATTTAAATTAGGGCTTCCACAACTAATCATTTTACTAGTCAAACAAATTGCTGGGTCAGATTATTTCTGCTAATTTCCATATTTTTAAAAAGACATCCATCCTATTTTAGAGATAAAATGCATGACAGAAAACCATTTTAAAAACTATTGCGCGTCAATTCCTCCATTTTTTATTCTTAAATAAGCATGCACATTTATTGCATACCATAATAATGGCCCATTTAAAATATTACGCAATTTTTGTGCTTTTTTTTTTCTTTTCCTTTTTCTTCTCCCACAGCTCCCACTCACTGAATAGTGACATAAAATGATTCTAGTGAACATTTTCAAGCATTTCAGTCATATTTAAATTCTGAAATATTTTACTGTCCACATTTAAAATGCCTGTGCATTACCGTGAAGCACAACAATTAGCGTACGGTGCTTGGCAGTGGTCAAAAAGGATTTACGAAACGACTTCTGCTGGAAGGCTTTATGCAGATGATGTGGAAAAAAGAATGACATTCTATATTCTGATGACTAGCTGCTGTACTGTAAATGTTGAAACGACCTTATGTCCTCATGAGAAACAATTACCGTCTGAACAGTAAATTGCCATCCGAATGCATGAGTTTTATCACTGAGGTGCCATGCAGATTATTATTACAGACGCCCCCATAAGAAACAATAACATAGCACTTATGACCATGAGTCAGTTTTGATTTGATGCTGATTTTACTCACCCACATACTCTCCTCTGGGGCTGGTGATGGACGGGCTGACCGTAAAGGCCTTCATGTGACCGTGAAGCCTCGGCGGAGGTTCGTAGTTGTCGTCATGATCGCCCTGAGGGTCCTCGTACGTATCGCTGTCCTGTTATAGTTAAAGACGTGTATGTGATCAGTGTATTTCCTGTCTCTTTATATTTCATGCTTTTACATCAGTTACACTGGAACTTCTGTTTGATTGTAACACTTTTTTGCTCATTCATTTTGAAAATGTTTCACTTAAAGCTTAGATATTTCATCTGAAACATCTTTGACATGTCAGCAGTCATTATTGTTTCCAATAAATGTAGAACTTAAGATTTGATTTAATTAGGTGTACATGACAGTGCTATTTTAGTATCATTGAGATTATAGTTTTTATTACTATTTTTATTTACATTTTCATTTTTATTTTTACCTTTTTCATTTGCATTTTTATTTTTATTTTAGTTTCTGTTTTAATTTAAAATTTTTATTTAAATTTGTGGTTATTTTTCATTTGCATTTTTACTTTTACATTTTCATTTTTAAGTAATTTAGTTTTACATTTTGTTAGTTATATATATATATATATATGTCTATTTTGTTTTTATTAACTTTTATTTCAGCTTTGGTTATTTTAGTACATCAAGTTAACCTAAATGAAAATGAGAAATGTTTCCTTGGCAACTAGTTATTTTTTATTAATATTTTAGTTTGTTTTTATTTTTTGTATTTTCTGTTTTAATTTTTTGTTATTTTCCGTTTTTTATTTTATTTTATTTTTTTAAATTTTTTACATTTTTTACATTTTTTAAATTTTTTCATTTGCGTTTTTATTTTTATTTTATATTCTGTTTTCATTTTTCATTTTCCTTGGCAACTAGTTAGTTTTTATCAATATTTTAGTTTGTTTTTATTTTTATATTTTCTGTTTGAATTTTTTTGTTATTTTCCGTTTTCATTTTTATTTGTACATTATATATTTGCTTAAATGTTTAAATTGTTTGTGAAATTTACTAGCAATTTCTGAGTGAAAATCGTTTCTACACCAAATTTTTATTTTTATTAAGTTTTTAATATAAAATTGTATTAAAATGTTATTTCACCCATCAGCTTTCAGACATTTTCAGTTCGCGTAAAATGGGTTTTTCATACATATTTGAGGTAGAATATTGAATTGCATGCGCGTGGGCTACAGTTATTGCATTGTGCATTAAATTATTACTAATGTTACATTCATTCAGCATCACATTTGTAAAAGTTCTGCTGTAAGCGAGCTGCGAATGTCTTTTACTGAAGTAAACTAATGCACTTACAAAATCTGAGTCAGAGTCCTTCTCAGAATCTGGAGCTTCGCCTGAAAAGTGACACAACATGATCATGAGGTGCATAGCTAAAAATACAAATGACAACATTTATCATTCACTTAGATATAATTGTGTTTTGATGGTCCATAAATGTACTGAAAATTCCCCCGACTGCCTTGAGTTACATCAGCTAAAGCAGTTTTTTAAGGATCGGATCGGATCGGACATTTTTCAGCTGCACGTTCACTTTCTAGTTCAGACTTGAACTTGCCTTGATAGTCTCGTACTGGTACTTTCGGAGGTCTTTTCTTCTTTATTCTGAAACAAAATCAAAAGCAACCCAAAACACAGGAAGCTCTTCAGAGTTCATTGCTGTGGATTAGTGATAGAATGCTGAGTTTCATCTGTCAGCAACGTTTAAGCACATAATTACATGTAATCTACAACATACGTAAGCAAAAACACACAACTGCAGGACACAGAATAATGAGGCGGTTGTTAAAAGTTAAAGGCCAGATTAGAGTAAATCTAAGCTCTCGTAGACGTTACGGTGGGCATCTGGTGCCATTTCTTCACATAGTCAAGTCACCTTTATTTATATAACGCTTTAGGTTGTGTCAAAGCAGCTTTACAGTGTTAAACAGAAAAAACATGTGCTGATAATGCAAGAGGACAATAGAAAAGTTAAAGTCAGTTCAAACTTTTTTTTTGTTTATACAGACAGAGAGGATCAAAGCAGAGCCCTTAAAGGACGTCCTGATATGAGCTTTGATCAAACTTTTAAGCAAGATAATTGGCTTAAAATTAAATAATAAAAAATTATTATATTAAATCATTAAATAAATAAAATTAAATAATTAAATTAATAAAAATTAAAATAAATAATTCAATAAACAAATTAATTAAATTTGTTTAAATAATTAAAAAAAATATTCATCTTGCATACAGATGATTTGTCCACTGGAAGTCGTGGTTTTTTCTCTGATAATGTGGGAATTAAATGCTTCAAGGAGCATTTAAAATTAGCACTATTGTAACAGTCTTATAAAAAAAAGAAAAAAACACTTTAAAAAAAATGTTTTTTTTTTTTTTTTTAAGCAGACACGTGCAGGTAAATGGATAAAGACACACATGCTTGGTTTTAAGGTTGAAGATTGAACACAGATCATACCGGTCCAGTGTATTTCTCCCGGTTTTGAGAATATTAGCTGTTTGTTCAGTCTGAAACCTTAGAAATGAATACATTAAGAGACAAAAGATTTCAGTTATGTGTATTGATGAATAACACGGCCCTGCATCATATTTGCTGAATGAAATCAAATTTTTTTTTTTTTTAAACAAATTTTGAGGCACTGATTCCAAAAATAGTGTCTGTTTTGCTGGAGCACACTTTCATCACGAAATCTGTGCATTTTGTTGCATTTCTGCTTTTGACAACAACTGTATACAGTAATGTGAAGAAGTCTTGCATTCTCCATTAATCAGCAGAAACACGCCACAAACACATGATTCCTGTCTGAATCTGAGCCAGATTACAACTATCTGATCCACTCTCAGCTCTTTTTCACTATTTGATGCCTAATCCTGATCACTTTCCCCTTTTCCACTCCTTTGAAGATTGTAAGTTAAATTAGTAATTTTGAATACTTCTTTTTGTTATTAAAACAAACTTCTGGCATTCGACTGTCAGCTTTTGTTATTCTGATAGATCCATTAAAGCTGATACATACAGTATATACATTGAAAAATCTTTTTTTTTTTTTTTACGTAATGGAATGTTTTTTAATTGACATTATATTAGGAAATATTAGGCCTTTTTTGCAAATCAAGATGTAGGGCAAAACTCTGATTGATTGATCTATCATTTGCTAAAGTGCTTTACGTTTCCTAAAGAAAATATCACTGGGGTTTGCCTGTGTAAAACTCATCTGCAAGATTCTAGGTGCATTTTATTGCTGAAACTTGTAAATCTAGTTTCTTAGCTAAAGTACCAGCACACCTTTCGTCAACAAGCCGCATGATTTGAGGAATCATTCATGTCTGGAGCACAAATGGTGTGGAACAAAAATGCAATGCATTAGTGCACTAGAGCTTCGTACTGAAGGTTTCGGAAAACCCCTAAACCGTAAGCATGAACAATAGTATCAGTGATACTTGGCAAACACCACAAATAATTACATTTATAAACATAAAATGTGCTCAAACTGCTTTTGGGTTATCATGTTACAATAATGAACACGTACGTGTTTTTGTACAGCAGGTGTTCCTTCATTAATAACAATTGCGTGCTTTTGCTGTAAATTTGATATCGTTTCAGTCATGCATGCCACACCTAATGAGCGTTTTGGGACTATTGCTCTGTATGAATAGAGGAAGTGAGAGGAAATGTGTTTGAGGACGGTCACCAGATGTTTCCTCGCGTCTTAAACTCAAAACATAACTTTGATAACTTTGTCTTCTCCTGTTGTGTTTCAATTAATGAGGACGTATGTAGAATATAACACACCTTTTTAGTCTGTTGAAAAGGCTGTCGTCATTCTTTTTTATGTCTTGAACCATTTTTTGGAGCTGCCTGAAAAAAACAAAAAAAACAAGCATGAGTTAATAAAAGCACATGTAGATCAAAATTTTGGGGTTGGTAAGATTTTTTTATTTTTATTTTTTTAAATAGAAATAACTCTCTTCTGCTCACCAAGGCTGCATTAATTTGATCAATATTACAGTAAAAATTGTGAAATATTATTACAATTTAAAACAGCTGTTTTCTATGTGAATATATATTAAAATATAATTTATTTCTGTGATCAAAGCTGTATTTTCAGCATCATTACTCCAGTCTTCAGCGTCACATGATCTTCAGAAATCATTCTAATATGCTGATTTGCTGCTCGAGAAACATTTCTGATTATTATCAATGTTGAAAACAATTGTGCCGCCCAATATTTTTGTGGAAACCGTGATGCATTTTATTTTTTATTTTATTATTCACAGATGAACAGAAAGTTCAGAAGTACAGCATTTATTTGAAATAGAAATAATTTGTAACATTGTAAATAACTTTACTGTCACTTTTGATCAATTTAATGCATCCTTGCTGAATAAAAGTATTAATTTCTTTTAAAAAATCACACTTTTGAACTTTAATAGATAGATAACCAATAGTTAGATATTTGCAAGGCAATCATTAATCAGCTTCGTGAATGATCTTCAGAAATCATTCTAATATGCTGATTTGCTGCTCGAGAAACATTTCTGATTATTATCAATGTTGAAAACAATTGTGCCGCCCAATATTTTTGTGGAAACTGTGATGCATTTTATTTTTCAGGATTCACAGATGAACAGAAAGTTCAGAAGAACAGCATTCATTTGAAGTAGAAATAATTTGTAACATTGTAAATAACTTTACTGTCACTTTTGATCGATTCAATGCGTCCTTACTGCATAAAAGTATTAATTTCTTAAAAAAAATCACACTTTTGAACTTTAATAGATAGATAACCAATAGTTAGATATTTGCAAGGCAATCATTAATCAGCTTCGTGAGGCTCTCAGACGTTCTGTTCAAGCGTAAAGCCTGAACTGTGGGTTTGAACAGCTTATCAGATACAAAGTAAACTGCTTCTGACAGACTCCGTCTGAGCTGCTTCACGTCTGTGTCTGTGTAGGAGAGACATGTAATGCATATAATTACAGTCCTCACAACACTTCACCGCAGCGTAGAAATTCAACACAGTTCCAGCCATGAACTCACTAACTTCAATAAATCCATCAATCAATACGACCTTCACTGACCTTCATTGGCATCAAGTATTGTTGGCAAGCTGATTATATCTTTAATGATGTACTTTTTATAAATAATGATTTCAGTGACATTTCAAAAGCTTCCTGCTAGTTTTGAGAGATCCAGATAAAAAAAAACATTTGAATTGATCAATCATTTGCTGTTTTTCTATTGCATGCACACAGAGATTTACCAAACGCAAATGTATTGATTTATTGAAAAAGCAGTGTTTGAAATACTGTTTGAAACGTAAATCTTTAACTAGTGGTAGTTCGACTGAAACTGAGCGCAGACGACTTCCTTATGCATAGATAACAGTGAAACCAAATTGTTTAAAAGTTTGCCTTACCTAAGTTTATCCGAAGCTGGAGCCATGAATCTGTTGAAATGCTCCATTCTGTGCCTCTATACCGACTGCGGTGAGTTAGTAGCATGCACTGGTAGTTGAGTAGCTGCTAGTAGTCGAATGGCTCATAATGAGTGTGTTGGACATCGGTGGTTAAGCAGCACATGTTGCAGCTGAGGGCGATTTTTTTTCCACAGAAGTGGTTGGTAATGAGGATTATGAAACTACTGTTGAATGTCATGCTACCTTTATATTTAGAGCCACTTTGAACTGATTCACTTCAATTAAATGATGCTATTTCTTGCCTCTCTGCATTCTCAGTTCTCTGTCTGTGTTTTTTGCAACATTTTATGCGTCTAATAATATTTATGAATATTATTTATGTTTCTCTTAATGAACCTTATTATTGCACTCTTCTGTTTCTTCCAGCAGTCTCCTGATGCATAAGAGGATGCACTATGAATGATTTTTAATGCATTTGCATTCATAATTTAACAAGTGAGCACACGTATTTTACTCCAAGGATATGAAACAAACTGCTTGAGTTTTCTAAAAATGTTTTAAAAGGATAGTGAAAGTATGTTTTATTTTTGGTTGCAGTTGTAACTGATAAGAAACAGTGACTTTTTGCTCAGTTGGTCTTGTATGCATTTCATTATATATACTGTATTAAATTAAATTAAATTAAATTAAATATATATATATATATATATATATATATATTATTTGTTTCTATGCAAACAAATAAAAAAAAAATTGCATTGCTAAAATGTCTAAATCTTATAGTATATTTTGAAGTGAAAAAATTCTATATTTTTTTCATGCTTTTTTTGTCAAAAAAATTAATTAAAATAAAAAATTTGCATGAAAATGATTATATTTTTGTAAATTATAAAAAATTATATAGAGAGAGCAAATATAACGTTAGATCAACAATAAAGTAACATTATTGAATGTTTGTTACTGATGTGCTTGTACAAATTTGATAAAATCTATATTTATTTCTTTGCAAAAATAAATAAATAAATAATAATAATTTTGCATTGCTAAAATGTCTAAATCTTTTATTATATTTAGAAGTGAAAACATCCTGATAGATATGCAAACCAAGTAACATCATTTAATGTTCTTTACTGATGATGAATTTGAGCAAATCTGACCAATGTTGAGTTTTCTTTGCAAAAAACGTTGTATTGCTGAAATTTCTATATCTTAAAGTATATTTATTAGTGAAAACATTGTATGAACAAGTAAAGTAACATAATTGTACTTTACTGATGTATTTGTATATATTCTCACATATTAGTTTCTTTTGTAAAAAAAAAAAAAATATTGCTAAACTTTCTATATCTTAAAGTATATTTAGTAGTGAAAACATTCTGATAGATGTACGAACCAAATAAAATAGCAATTTAATGTTCGTTATTGATTTTTTAAATATATATTCTGACCAATATATATATATTTGTATCTGTGCAAAAAATAAAATAAAATTCTCAAAGTATATTTAGAAGTGAAAACATTCTGATAGATGCGCAAACCAAGTAAAGAACATAATTTAAAGGGGTCATATGATGCTTTTTTAAAGATCATTATTTTGTGTATTTGGTGTAACAGAATATGTTGACATGCTTTAATGTTCAAAAAACACATTATTTTTCAAATACTGTACATTATTGTAGGTCCTCTATGCCCCGCCTCTCTCAAACGCTTCGTTTTCTACAAAGCCCCCTCCTTTGACAAGCGCAGTCCGCTCTGATTGGCCAGCTGACCCAGTGCACTGTGATTGGCCGAACACCACAAGCACACGTCGGAAATGAAACGCCCCTTACCATAAT